ATGCACAAACAGAAGAGAGAACGAACAAGCAGGCTCAGAATAACACCCTGTTAACTAACTGTTGTCTTCCTATACCTTTCCTGTCCCTGGCAATAAAATATCCATTCTTCATCAGCATGGGAAGAAATTGCAAGCCTATAAACAAACTTCCCTAAATACAATCCTATTAAAGCTTAATATTGATCAAATTACATAAGCTGGTTCAATAAAACAAGGTCATTACACCCCTCTCTTCAGATTTTTCCTTCTATCTTCCCTCCAGTAAGCATTTTCAAATAAGTGGTGTCTTATTAGAAGAAATAAAATGTTAATGATTATCAGTATATTCTTGTTACTGATTTTATTACTAAGTTAATGTAACGAACAATTAATTGGAGGTTAGCTGAAACCTGAAGGGTACTAGGAGATACTTAAAGATATTTTACCACTATAGACCCCACCCCAAAGAAATCTACTGTCTAAATCCAGAAGAAGATTCTCAAATAGTAAACAAATAATGTTTACTACAGGAAAAAACATATTAATGATTTCAGTTGCATACAGAAAACTCCTAGCAATGTCTTAAAGAATTCATGCTTAATTAGAACCAGGTGTTTGATCTCCACCAGAGAGATTCACACTAATTACAATGCACAGAAGGTCCCCAAAAATAAAATATTAAATAGAAGTAGAATAAGAAACTGGAGTAGATTTCTTGCCATGATTCTTATCAACAAAAAAAAAAGTGTGACTATTTCTTTAATAATTAGTATCTTTTTGTCTGTTGCAGAAATTCTTGGAGAAATACTTTAAATAAAATTCTAAAGAAGCTATTACAGAAACAAAGTCAATTGCAACTGATGACACTAACATTTATTTCCTGTAATAATTAGTCTCATCAGCTGTATTTGAAATTCTCTCTTTCTGGATTTAATGTTAGAAGGCCTATCATAAAGTTGTAGATCTTTGCTAAATATCCCATCAAGCCAAAAGGTTTATGTTTTGTTTGCTCATTACCTTGAACAGAATTATTCATTACGGTAGTAAAAATTCTCAGAAGAGGAGGTTGTCCCAGACACAGATTAATGTGAATTTCAACTGTGCCCCCATAAAAGGCCTGCATGGTTAGCCCCGCTTTGCAGAGAGGTTTGGACCACTTGCATTCCAGAGATCCCTTTTAATATGAATTATTCTATGACCACTACCAATGAATAGCATATTTATACTGCTGTAGCTTTAAAAGGTCAAATTTAAATTCATGACTTTATATCTGCGCACAGAATTCACCTCACCTAAGTTAAGCTATTTTTAAGTTAACTATCCAACCTAGTCATTGAGATTCTATATCTATAGGCAAGAAAGGGAGATGAACATTTCCAGGTTCATCTTACCTATCTTACAGGATGAACTGCCCTTTCTAGGAGGTTTCTTTTTATCATTTTCTTATAGAGAGATTCTGTATGATTAAGACTGAATGCTTAAGTTTTAGACAGCTTTCTTACTTGAGATGATTCCTACTACAAAAGATACATGTTAGGGTTAGATTTTCATCCTCAAAACATCAAAAATGATTCACATTCATGAAAAAAAACTCTACTAAAATAAATGCTCATTAAGATAAAAGATCACAATTTAGACTTCTTCACAAAAATCCAGCATCTACCCAGTAAAAGACATTAAAATACGCATGAAGGAAAGACTCTAAATCGGTCATTAGAATTGTATATTCTCTGTGTTCCTTATAACAACACAAACTATGGATGCTTTACCCACTGGAAAACATCAGCATTATCTACAGCAATATCAATCACAGTATGGCATTCACATCATCTATGAATTTTCTCCAAGAAAGAATTTTTTGTTTGGATGAAGGTAAATCAATGCATTACCTGAAATATCAAGGTACTAGTCAATGAATGCGTGTCTTGGCCCTTCAGATGGAACTACTTCAAAATACAGCAGGCATATTTAGCCTGTAAGACAACATTCAATGCAGATCTAAATACACTTTCCTTGCAGGCTTTTGCTATGAACAGGCAGCTTTCAGAAGACCTTGAAGAGTAAGTAAGAGTATATGTCAAAAATTCAGAGTATTAGGAGACCTATTCACATATGGAACACTTCTAACAACCCAACTACATTGCAATTCTAATAGCTTTGGTAAATCTACTCAGATTGCATTTTATTTTACTCCTGTGAATGATCCCCTGCAAAAAGTGGAATTTCTCCACCGTAAAGTTCAAAATAAAAGTCATGAAGTGCTTTTCTCAGTTAACTTCTAGCTCACAAGGTAACCATGGCTACTATGCAATAAAAGTGTCTTTTAGGAAAGCTTCATCTTGGAGAAAAAAAAAAAAAAAAAAAAAAAAAAAGGTTTTGCCACCATTTTTGTCTGAGCAAGACTGATTTCCAATATCACTCACTGATAATTGAAATCCTTCTAGGGAGTGATACACATTTATTCATGGCTTCCTTATATGCATTTGTTCCTCTAGCAACACTATTCTTAGCTCAAAAATTATTTTTCTCTTTTACCTGGTCTCACCATCTTCCTGTCTTTCCCAAGAAAATTTACCAAAGCACTCATATTCCCTTTCAACTTTTGTTTTCTACAGAAATAAGACAACTTCAACTAAATTAACACCAATTTCTAATGGCAACCTTTTGCATAATACTTCTTGGAATGATATATGCACCTCTTATCAGTTGCCTAGTCACTTTACAGCATGTATTTTCCCTTTCTGTTACTGCTAGCTAAAAGGCGAGAGCAGAAATACTTATTATTAGCTAATAGGTAAAAGTAGACAGCTTTACCTATTGACCATGACCAGTTGAGATCAAAGTCTCAACTTTGTGCCATAAAATTTTCATCCCATCTGTACTCTTGTTCTTCTGTGAATATCATACTCATTCCTTCATTTGATGATACAAGTCAACTTTGTTTTACACACTATGAGGTACAGAAATACTGTGAAATACTAATAAATAACTCAATTTTGAAAACTTTTCAAGAAAACAAGCCCTAGAAGAAAGATGAAAAGGAAGGTTTGTTAGATTTCACAACTAAATAAGAGTCATCTTAGGGAGTGTTTGTGCATTTTCCCCTTACATATAGTGAACAAACATTTTTTCTTTTCCAGAATAAGACTATTGGGTAGCAGTTTGTCATGGCCAAGCTCCTCACCATGCAAACTTGCCATTCACAAAAAATCTTAAACAAAAAAGAAAATGATAAAACATGAGGTAAGATTGTTAGCTCTAAGAAGATAGTATGTCAGATTCACAAAATTTATTTTCTTGAAAGATATTTTCTTGTATTGCCAAAATGTTACAGAAATAGGCCAGTGTTTTATACTTATAAAAATAGTTTTTTACAGAACTGAGGTAGTTACATGAAAATTTAGACTAAGTGATAGAAAGTCTTTTACTGCTTTAAAGTTTAAGCACTATATCACACTGTTTCTTTCAAGGGAAAACCTTATGTCTACTTACATACTTCATAGAGTACCACCTAAAATACACATTCTTAATGCTACATGGTAGTGAAAGATGTTCACCTGACAAATCTGATTTGCGGCATTTGCAAGGGTATAACTCAAAAAACAAGCCTTTTTTTTTTTTTTAGAAATACTAAGGATTAAGATCATATTGTGTTCCACTTCATTAGAATCTCTATCATTTTTCTGCTGAATATTATTTCCCTTAGCAAATCTCTTGTTTTTCACCAGGGGTTTTGCTTATGTGAAACAAGAAAAAAAATAGGCTTAGACATCTGCTACTGCTCAACAGAAATGCCTCATTATGAGCTGAGCATAGAGTGCCTCTGTACCAAGCTAAATACTGAACATGAGTTGACAGATGTAGAACCAACTCTCTTCAGATTTCTAGCAAGAAACCTTTGAATAAAGGATCTGAGCTTACACTTTTCTATGAAGAGTCTCACCAGTGGAAGCAAAGCTTAACCACCTGCAAATTAACAAGAAAAAAAAAGATTTACTGTGTAGCAAAATCATTGCTGCTCTTCTCTTGTCTTTCGGTTTGACCCAGACTGAGTGCAGACACTTTTACTGCATGAACATTTAAGGTACGGAATCTGCTCTTTACACACTTACCCAGTCTCTCTCCCTTTTTCATCCCTAGCATGTGATTCAACCTTACACCTCCTCCTTCCAATCACACAGCTGAATCTGTCTTCTTCCTCTTTTCTGCAGCCACTGTCTAATGGCTGGACAGCTTAGCACAGGTAAGTACACCCAGGCTGCCAGCTTACAACCAAGTCTTCTATCATGTGACTGTTGGGAGACATAGAAAAGTCACGCAGAGGAAAAAAGGCTTATTGACACAGGCCAATACTTCAACCTTCTGGACAGATACAGCAACTGAACTAAGGTATTTCTTTGTCTTTAAAGCCTAGTATATTGAAAAATAATTTTATATTGAAATGTAATATCAAAAGAATATATAATAATGAAAAACAATCTAATATTATTGTTTTAAGTGAAATACAATAATGCATATTTTACTTCCTAAATTGGTCATGGTAATTGTATATATTTATATTTTAAATAGAAGAAAAGTATTAAAATAGCAGTTGATATTCTTTCTGCTTGTAGTTCTTTATTTAGCCTACACGAACTAATTTTATTTATATAATGCTAGTTAGAAACTCTTATTTGGGATAGACTGTGAACTCCTTCCTTCTTTTTTTGCTTCCCTCCCATCATTAGACTTTTAATTTAAATGATTCCTAACCTGCTTTGAATGTTGGAGCAACAGCCAAAAGAACCAGTAGCTATGAGCCTTCATCTTGCTCTCCGTGAAGTCAGTGACAATACTCCTAGACACAACTTTGAAGAAAACACAAATTCTAAGGAGGCCAAACCAGGTACTCTTAAATCCATAGGAGTTTTGCAGTAGACCTCAATGGGAGCAGGATTTGAGCCCCAAGGAATATATATTGATTCAGTGACATTAACTAGAAACTTGGTGAACCTAAAAAGGAATCTTTATAGGTTACCTACCTGAGGCAGGGCTGAGTTGAGCTGTCGCTGCAGGGAGTCTCTGTCGTAGATGACATCCTGTAGGCGTTGCTGTGCAAGTGACAGGCTTTCCTGCGTCTCCCGAAGAGTGTCAAGGAGACGGTCCCTTTCATCCAGCATGTTCACCATCAGCTGCTCAAAGTGAGAATCTGAGTCCGAGCCGCTGCTTTGGGACCCCCGTTGACTCATCGGGGTGTCCTCGTTTATCGTTGGCATCACTTCGCACATCATTTCTTAAAAAAAAGAAAAAAAAACAGGGAAAAACTCTTCAGTAGAAAAATATCAATTTAATATATGAGATAACATATTTAAATATAATTTATAACATAAATTAGCTCTGTCACATGGACGCAGTTGGGAGACTATTGCATTGTTCCCTCCTCTCAACTTTATGCTTTCAGTGTTAACGAGATGGTCGATAGACAGTGATTAAATACAGTGACTAATTCCACACAGCAAAGATTCTGAATGTGCTTTAAAACAGGGAAGAGGGACTGGAAGGAGATACAGGGTAACAAAATACCTTAAATTATTAATAGTTTTGTATCAATAGTACTCCTTAAAAAAAAAAAAAGATTTCCTCTGCAATTGTGATTTCCTTTATTGTTGATTTTCCCCTCTCTCTTACTTTACGTCATTGTTGAATTGTTTGTATTGATGCCACTGGCTGCCATTAATTGCTAGATCTTGCCCTGCTCGAGGCATTTCTACTGTACAACTCAGGCTAGTCATTGATCCAGTATCATGCTGCCTTAACAATGCCAGGTTAATCTATTTTTCAATCTAGTTATTCCCACCCTCAGGGGAAATTATTCCCCAGGGAGCTTGTTCAGTAGGAGGTCAAGAACTAGAAACTCTCTTCTAATTACCATCTCTGTGATATCTTGTGCAAACTGAATTACTAAGGACAGAATCACCATTGTTTCTTTCCTGAAAACAGTCCTGAATACAGCAAACAATACTGTCTCGTCCCATTCTTCAATTAAAAGGCTTATTTGAATCTCAGAGTCTCAGTTTTGCTTTCATAGCGGCTTGTGCTATTGGGCTCCTGAGATGAAAAGGAAAGACAAAGCAAAAAAGTAAAGCTGTAGCAGACCTCAAAGCTCAGACGTTTAAAAGATCAGAAAACCTTTATAAAATATTGAAGAATGTTATGATACTATTGAAATAGAAAGTTAAAATAACTTGAAGAATCAGAACTTGTTTTTCCAGAAGTGCAGCAGATTCAAGTATATACATATTTTAATTTCTGGAAATTCTGTTATTTTAGCAATTAGAAGCTTTTTATCTCAGCAAGTGGAATCAAGGTATCAAGTGCATCTATTGCAGTTAAAATATCATGAGTTTGCTATGTACCTTATACAAATGAGCTTTATTTACAATACATAATGATTAAGGAACTTTTATTGTAAGTATGCCATCATATAAGAGTCATCTCCATTTGAGATTCCCAACCCTATAATGGATTGGCTCGATATATTCTTAAATCTGGTTTACATTTCTAAATAGGAAAATAGAATTTTTTTTAAAAAGTGGAATTTATGAAAAATTGAAGATTTGGCTGTTACAGACCTTGACTTAAAGACATTCAGCAGGGAACAATAAAGGTTAAGCATGTAATATCAATTGCTCACTGCTGGGAAATTACTGGAAAAATGGTCCAGGTTTCCTAAGATTAACAGGCCTTGACCATATTCCAAATGCTCATGCAGAATTTGGTATTCTTAATTTTCTCTTCAGCAGACATGAATAACTAGCAAACTTTGTACCAAACACATTAATATTTCAGCATGAATTATCAGCTACTACTGTGCAGCTTTCACACATAATAGCTTCATCACTGAGGCCTCCAGCAGATCTTGATCCTGATTTTAAAGTGTGTGGACTGGAGGCAAGCTAAAGGCTCTCTGTGGCTATTGTCAACCTTAGCAATTAACTAGATACAATAAGAGCATATGGTAGCTCTAAGTGATGAGTGCTGAGGCTCCTTACATCTCCAATAGATTTGAGTCAGGTAAATTAACACAGGATTATCTGATACAATACCACATATCCGCAGTATACATAAGGTTCAAAATACAACTGCTTTCTCCACTGTCCATCCTGATGTTTTCATACCTTAACCAGTATGCAGCAGGTGACCGGAGACCAAGATCTGCATGTCCATTCCCTGAGCGAAGACTAGAAACAGCCATTCACATTTCCCCTGAAACTTTCCTGCCACGGGAGGGCTCATCAGCATCCTCTGGAACATCTCCTGCTCCAGAGGACTCTCATGGGTGAACCTTCCATTATCCAAGAAATTACTTCCAATCTCCTGCGGATCAGGTTTATGATCTGAGTGGCAGGGAACTTCATGAGTGTAGTGAAGCTAAACCACTATCACTGTGTGAAAATGTGCAACCACAAGAAAACCTAAGGATTATCACAATGGGACCATTCATTTCCAAAGGCTACACGTGAAAACTACACATGAAAAAGGTGCATAACTGAGGAAGGCCATAAAGCTGAACGCAGAGAACTTTTCTAGCAAATCAGTAACGGTCAGTACAACCAAATAACACAATAAACTTACTTGGTAGGAGACTAAAATGTACTGAATTTGCTAATGTGTCCCAGCAATGAGACGTAGGCACAATGCCTGGGAGCATAGAAAGAAGAGGACTTGAGGGTCATGGAATTTTCTGAAGCCCATCACCACAGCTTGGTTGTCCAGCACATCTTATAACCATGAGTGAAAGACAGCATGGGTCGGATATGCACAACAGCAAATGGAAAAGAAAGGGATCCCCTTAGCATCTTCTGCAATGACCAGGATAGCAAAATGACTTGCACTGAGGCTGCTGAGAGCTTTTGACCCTCAGATTGAAGCATGGCTTGTTCCTGGGCAAGAGAACCATTAACTGTGTGGGTGCATGTTTTGCTGTTTCTGGAGACTCAAAAAGGACTTCTTGCAAGAACTGCCAACTCTCCAGAGTCAGTACACATCATCATGTACTACTGCTGACCAGCCTTTTCAGCATCTAGCAGAAGCCTTTTCTACAGCCTCTGCCAGAAGTTTCCACTTCTGCTTGTTGTCTGTTGTCTTTTCCAGGTGTGGCACCCCTTGAAAAATGAAAGAATATGCTTTGCCTCTTACCTACAAAGGGTACAGGAGACAGAACTACTTTAGGATCTTTCTTCACCAAGGGGACCTGTGGGGAAGAACAAGTGTGTGCAGTAACCGCTGCAGTGATCCACAACTCTCTTTCCTGTGACCTGTTGCCCTCAGCAGTGTAGCCTGAAGGCTATAGGCACATAGGAGTCAGGGAAGAAGAGGAGAAGTAGTCGAAGGAGGAGAGGAAACACAGTGGCGTGTTGCCCATAAACGGAAGACCTGTGTGGTAACAGCAGACCTTTGCTTTGTCTGCTGTATCCTGCACAGGATAAAGTCAAGTTGAAATCTTCCTGCTTCTCATTCATTTTGCCAGAATGAGGTTATTAACACTGTTGGGTCATGTTGCCTGTTTTTGATATGAACATGCACATTCTTCTGCTTATTCAGACTAAGGAGCTGTCCTGGTTTGTTTGCAATACAGTTTGCACTAAAAAGTAAGGGGCTACCCCTTCCCCTCACAACCACTTGCCTCATCCCTTATTGAGTAAGGCTATGAACCTTATATCCCATTAGAAATAAATGGCACAGAAGCAGCTTCTTTCCTAATTCCCAAGCCCATGTGAGATGTTACCTCCCTTGCCTGAAGGCTGTCACTGGACCACAAAAGTTTTGCATCTTTGGAATATACCTGCACCAAGCCCTGGACCTGAAGGGCTCATGCCTCATGCATATCAGGTTCTGCAGGATTTCTGTGGAAGCAAAACAGATCTCCATGGACAGACAGGTTCTTCACAAGACTAGTGGTGCAACTTAACATGCCTGTTGGTGTTGAGGGAAACACGTGAGGAAATGTGTCTGTGGACAGCTGTTGCTACCTCAGCAGCTTGTAATCAGAATTAATAGAGAATCTTTTTCTGAAGTTATTTATGGCAGTGTGTAAGAAGATGCATACATGGGTGTGGGGCAGCAATGGGATCCACAGGTGGAATGTTCATGGCACAGTGACCAGTCTCCTCCCTATAAGCTACCCATTCAGAGTGGCCCATGCAGAAGTGCTTATTTGAAAGCCTGGGAGGCTTGTCCTGCCATGGTACACAACTAATCTGGACTATGAGCAGGACAGCAGAGAAGGCAGGGAGTGGGCAGGCTGATTCTGATATAGCCAGTTGGTATTTGAATATTTTCTCCCACAGCTCATATCACCCAAGGAGAACTGCATTGAAAGGAACTGTGATTCTAGCAGTCAGGTTCGTGATGGACATTGCTTTCCTTCAGGCTGGAGATCAATGCCATTATTCTACTGCAGCCACACACATCCTATCTCTTCCCTCACTTTCAGCTTGTGGACAAATATAAGAAAGCAATAAGCTAACTCAGGCTGCACCAAGAAGAGCTCAGAGGGTGCCAAAAAGCAGTGCGTTAATAGTTGCAGTGATGGAGACTCATAGAATCATGGAATGCTTAAGGCTGGAAGGGATCTCAGAGGTCATCTAGTCCAACCCTCCTGCTCATGCAGGGTCACCTAGAGCACATGGCACAGGGCTGCATCCAAGTGGCTTTTAAAGATCTCCAAAGAAGGAGACTCCACAACCTCTCCGGGCAGCCTCTTCCACTGCTCTGTCACCCTCACAGTCAAGAAGTGTTTCCTTAAGTTCCTGTGGAACTTTTGGTGCCTCAGCTTGTGGCTATTTCCTCTAGTCCTATCACTGGCCACCACTGAAAAGAGGCCAGCCCCCTCCTCCTCACTCCCTCCCTTGAGGTATTTATAGACAGTGATCAGGTCCCCCCTCAGCCTTCTCTTCTCCAGGCTGAACAGGCCCAGCTCCCTCAGCCTTTGCTCATAGGGCAGATGTTCCAGGCCCCTGATCATCCTCGTAGCCCTATGCTGGACTCTCTCCAGCAGCTCCACATCCCTCTTGTCCTGGGGAGCCCAGCACTGCACACAGTGCTCCAGATGTGGCCTCACCAGGGCTTTATATAGGGGGATGATCACCTCCCTCGAGCTGCTGGAGACATTCTTCTTAATGCACCCCAGGATCCCGTTGGCCTTGGCCACCAGGGCACACTGCTGCCTCATGGTCATTGTGTCATCCACCACGACACTAAGGTCCCTCTCTGCGGGGATGCTCTCCAGCA